CTGCAGCTCTGCAACTCGAAATCCGAGTAAATCTGCAGAGTCTCCAGCCTGGTTCAAGATCATCGGAAAGCTTTCTTTTTGCTATTCCAAGATATGACAATTCTTAATGAAATCATTGGAGTAGTTAACATATTTTGTCCAGAATGGTCTTAGATGCTCGAAACCTATCTCGAGCCACGGCTTTGATTGGCCATTGTAGTGAATCACTGCAGATTTCTTCACATTTTCTAAGTTGGTCTTGCTCTGATAACCTAATCCAAGCATATGCCAAGACGAATCTATTGGCTGAACATGACCTTTAAATGCAATTAGAGCTGGAGGCAATGTCCCTAGCTTCCACATTGTTAGATTCGACCTCAGATTCTGCATATCAAACCAAAAGCAGATATCAAGATTTCAAGGATTTGCCAATTTTCGAATCATAAAACTCAAAAACATTGCAGGCTTCTCTGATAATTTACCTCTTTAAGCCAAGAATGATAAGTTTCTCTGATGTTTGTCTTCCTCCAAGTCCGTAGATCGAAGATATTCATTCCATAAGCCCAAGCACATTCTTCAGGATCCAAATGCTTTGCAATGAGGGGGTGAGAGAAATTGAAGTAGTTCCTAAGACGCTTTGACATAACCCATTCGTCTTCTCCTCGACAAGTCTCCACAGCTCCATTCACCTTCCCGTTAAGATCAATATCCCAAAGCGGAGATAAATCTCGCTGAATCACTATATCGTCATCTAAGAACACTATCTTGTCTAAGTTCGGAAAAAGCTGTTCAAAAAGGTGAAACAAACAAACATTACATTAATACTCTCAAATCCGAAATTTTGATCCTAGACAGTAAGCCATTTGGATGAAAAAGGCGAAACTTTGAAATTGGAAGGACAGAAATTTTTACCTCTGGTAGGTATATTCTAAGATGGTTGAGCAGAGATATGTATTTGGGACTTCTTGATTGCAATTTTGAAGCAAATGTTCGAGGAGTTGTTTCGCTGAGGTTTGCACCAATGATATGATTCCCATGGTAATAATTTCTTATACCGTTATGACTTTCCACAGCTTCGAGAACCGGAACATTCTCTCTTGTTAACCAGTCAAACTGATGAACACTTTTGACTTCAACGATGGCAGGAGCGACGGAATTAAGCGCAAACCAAGAATGCATACCCGCATAGGTTTTCTTGTCTGTGATAACATGAAAGACAATTTTCTCGGGTTTCGAAGATGACTGAACAGCAGATGAGACCACAACTGATGCAGCCAAGATATTGTCTGTAGCTAGAACAAAATGGTGATACGCATTGTCTGAGAGAACAGGGAGAAACTCCGGGGAAGGAAGCTGTCTCCGAGCATGAGCATTGGAGGAATATTCATCGGTTAGTCTTAAAGAGAGACAGTGAATTCCTTTTGGAATCGAACTTGCTGCAAAATGTTTGTTCATAAGTTCCGCAAATTTGGATTCCCTTATATCCCTTTCAAACTTCTCTATCTGTTCAAAGAGAGTAATCAAATCACATTAAAAAAAAAAATTGGATAACAAATCTACAATTTAACAATTAACTGCAGATTAGAGAATGCACCATAGCTCGAAGCACGAGGGAAAATGTTCTCGCATCGTAGTGGTTGTTCTTCATATCCGAAACAAGTTGACTAAAAGAATCTGGAAGCTTTAAACCATCTGGAATTTCTTGAGTGCTTACTTCATTTAGAACTTTGTAAAAATCTCTAACTAGTCTCTGTTACGAAAAAAGCGTGAGAAAAAATCAGACTTAACGTAAATGTTACAGAGAAATCCATCTTGCAACTTTAAAATGAAGCAATCCCTCACCTCTGAATCATCTACCCTACCAAGAAGACGTGGTCCTATCCGCCTCCCTAAACAATCTGAAGCGAAAAAGAAGACAACACAAGAAACTTTGATAAGCATAAGAACACTAAGCGAAAAGGGAGCAATTCGGAGATTTGTTTTCTCAGCATTTGGTCTGATCTACTAATACAGAGACAAATTTGTAATTTTTTAACTTCAAACAAACACAACATGGGAATTCTCCAAAACTGTCATGAAAGCATAAAAATCTGAGCTCAAAGATTCATACTACGATACAATTGAAGCTCAATTGGCTTCCTTGAGACACTAAACGATTCATTTGTGGATACCAACAAGAAAATCTCAAAGTGCCAAAACTTTGTTGACTTAACCATTGGATCCAAACAACACACACTTGTGACAATGCGTAGATTTGACAAAACACCTAGCTCATCTAACAACATATACGTCAAGATCCGAACCAGTGCCTATCAACACAAACAGAGAAACTACAATGATTGAAGGACAAAATAGAAGGTTTACCAATGGAGGAGCATTTGTTGACACCTTCAAGGGTAACAACAGCAGTAAGAATGAAGACAAAAGGCAACAAGAAAGCGAGGATTAAGATTGTGTGGAAGAGAGTTCGGTAAGAAATGTGACGAGCTGCGACTTTGATCTTCATCAAATCAATAAACTCATTGCTGCTCGAAATCGTAATACTTCTCATGCTAGGCGATATGTGAAGCTGCATCCTTGTTCGTGCAGCCCCACAGTGTTAATCAAATCAATCGAATCGAAAAAAACCCTAATTCCACCCAATCCCCAACCAAACAACATCACCACACAATCACCTTCCTCTTCTCCGATCTCGATTGCTTCTCGGTTCTCGATCTATCCTTCTTCTGGGTATCTCTCAAATCCGACGATTTTCGATTCCTATTCGCTCTTCTTGTTCTTTGTGGTCTTCTCGCAGACCGCATTTACAAATTTCCGGCAACGCAACAATGATCTCCGAATTTGAGATTTTTCTGCTGTTTCTCTGTAATTCGATACGAGAATCCAAATGGGTTTTTCGTCGAATTCGTGTTGATGGTATTACAGAGTTCGATTCTTAAGGATCAAAAGAGAAAGCAATGAGCTTGTCAAAGAGAAGAAGACAACAACAAAAATGAGAGAAGAAAAATCAAAGCTTTATTTCGCCGGTGGATCTATAAACAATTAAGCCATAGACC